CCTGTACTTTCGTAGGCGCCAATATGCGCCTCGCGACGACCAGCGACCGCACTGAATCATCGGGTATAATCAGAGACAAGGGACCCTCCACTGACCTTTCGGCGACAAATTTGATTTTGCGAGATACTAGGGTCGTACAGAAAGTAAGTTTAAAATTCAACATCTCCTAAACTAAGATAGATCAATAAAATATGTGAACGGCATCAAAAAGTTACTCCTCTTATCTTTCTAACGTGGGACAGGATTGTATTGGAAAGGTGCAAAATCACTACAATCCCTCGATTCTACGATTGCAAGCTCGGTGTGCACACTAGTCGGAAATGAGATATTACGAATTTTTAACGAAAATAGCGTGCTCTGTTGTGAGCGCGCAATGCGTTAAGTATTCCTTGCACTCTTGTAGGGGTGAATTTGCGCCTCGCGACGACCAGTGACCGCACTGTGCGTTAGACGCAATGCGTGAAGTATTCCTGCTTTCTCGTAGGCGCCAATATGCGCCTCGCGACGACCAGCGACCGCACTGAGTTTGGCGCAATGCGTGCAGTATTCCTGCAGTCTGGTAGGCGCTATCCCGTCCGTATTCCGGGCTCAGAGGCCGAAAGTTACGGGTGCAGCACCCGGAGCGATTGAAGCCACGGCTCCAGCATCGGGAACTCTGTAAAAATTAAAAGAAATAGTGTTGACACGCTCTCCTTCGATAAAATGAAATTAGTGCGGGGATTTTCGAACCCCTCAATTGAGATACGCGTTCAACAGTTTCACCGTCTCAAAACTTCATTTTTGCACTTACGGCTCTCTTTACTTTCACGGCAGGATAGCCAGTACACTAGTACACTGCCGTGCTAAGGAAGAACGCCATATGAACATTTGAGAGTTGCCAAACTCCTCCGGTTTAAACATAATTATTGGGGGAAAGTTATGAATTATTTTTCCTTGAACTTATCAAATACTTTGGATCAAATTGCGAACAAAATTGTGTGAAAAATCGAAAAAAGTACTCACGAATTTCCCTGAAAATCCGTACTTTGTGAAAGGAAATTTAGCAACATCTGAAGGCTCACACGGCGTTTTCATTTAGCACGGCCAGGGTGTCTAGAAGTCCGCAAATAGTACTGATTTTTCAAGGGCGGTCCAGAAGTACTGAAAAAGTGCGGAAATTTTGCAAGAAAGTCCGGAATTTTTTTCATTTTTGTCGCAATATGAGCAAGAAACTTAAATTTTTGAAATTTCTCGAATCGCGTCAGTTGAAGGTATTGAAAAAGTACTGAATTTTTCTGTTGAGGAGGTGCTGAATTTGTCGGGAATGTACTGAAAAAGCACTGTAAAAGTACTTATTTTTGACCAGCCTGTTTTAGTAGACACCCTCACGGCAGTACGGTGCCTCCGAAAAGTTTACTTTTCGTGTCGCGCTGCGCACCGCAAGAACGCGTGTAGGCGCCGGCGAAGCGCGGAGGAGCGGGACTCCTTTAAAAACGGCTTTTACGGGCGAAAATTCCTTTTGTCTCGGCCGTAAAGCGGCCCGCTGCTGGTAGTTCCTTTCTCAGTCGATATTCGTCGACTGCGTCACGTCCCGCGGCCTCGTTTCTCGTCTCTCGCGCCCGGCGCACAGTGGATCGAGTCAATCGGAGAGGTCGGACGTAACATTTTTTACCAAAACTGCAAATTTTGATGTTTAATTCGTCACATTTTAAAGTTCAAGGGGTGTTTCCGAAAGAAAATTTCACGAGAACACCAACGGAGTCACTTTTAGAATCTCAAAGTTTGGTATAAACGGAGTTATAAGGGTTTAAAGTGTCAACATTTTGTTCGACATCTCCTATTGACTGGATCCACTGTGCGCCGTTCCGTTCCGCGGCCTGCCTCGCGCTTCCTACCACCCCTCCCCCTCCCTCCCCGCGGGTCCGTGGTGTAACGCGGGTGGAAGGAGCTTTCTCGCGGTGTCATCCGCGAAATCGGCCCCTCAGTTCGGCTCATTTGTCAGAGGCCCCGGAGCTGGAGCCCCCCGCGAATCTTGCCCGCGATGGTCGAGAACCTCTCCGCGTTTCCCCTCTTCCCGTCCCGCCCGCTTCGAACAGAGGAAGGTTCTGTTTGGAGCGGTTCCACTGAAGGCGCTGTTGAGTTGTGGCAGGCCGGTCGTTGACCGTTCCTACGATTGTGTCGGAGAAAAATCGGGCAGTTTTCGAATTTCTGGAAAATGTGAAGTAGGCATTTGAAGAAGTAACAATGAATCGTGTTCAATTAATACATCAAACAGGCGAGATTGTATCGATAGCGATTGGTTCAGCATGTGAACATAGCCTCAAAAGTGTCTAGCATCAGGGGTTTCCCGATTTTATCAGGATATGAGGTCAATCAGGATATAATCCCGATTTCATTAGAATTAGAAGAAAAGTCGGTCGTGAAATCAGGATTTGAGAAAAGTGGGCCGTTCGCTTATTTTCCGTTAATTATCCGCTATCGGTCCGTTAATTTTTTCCGCAAAAAGTCAGGATTTGGAAAAAATATGAAGTCAGGATTTAGCGGTCAAAATCAGGAAAAATCAGGATTTCCCAAAATGCAAACAAACTAGACACCCTGATTGGGTAATCTGTGGGAACGAGTTTTTTTGTGATAGATTTTTGATACTTATGAGTACAAAATGACAATGAAGAGTGCAATCGTTTTGAATTTTCTCATTTCCAGCTTTTCCAACTTTAATCCTCAAATTTTTGTTTGTGGTTACGCACTATTGTTTTGAAGCAAACGATACATCGAATACGATATATTCTCATGAACGCTGTCGATGTGTACTCCTCCTGTCTCATGCTTTCAAAATAGGAGGCATGGATTACGGTGGCAAAAGCACGAGGCCACGTATTTTTTTTTTTTTTTTTGCAACGTCGCAGACTTTCTATCGTACTTCATTTTTTCCTCGAAGAACTAGTCGACGTAATTTCTTGATAACTTACTTGATTTTTCTGCGCTGTCAGTCGAATATCCTGTTTAAACAGCCAAAAAGTTGACTTGTTTCTCTTCCCAAAAATAAACTAAGGACAGAGATTTTGAAACACCGCAATGGAGGTACGTGGTTTCACACTCTAGCCATCGGTGGGATGATATCTAATTCAGGATGTCTAGCATTAGGATATTCCTGATTCTATCAGGCTTTGAGGTCAATCAAGATTTTATTCCGATTTCATCAGGGGTTGAGGAAAAATTGGTCGTAAAATCAGGATTTAAGAAAAGTTGGCTATTCGATTATCGAGTTACTCTTGAAAGTTACATTCGCCTCCTCAAAAAATCAGGATTTGATCAGGATGTGGAAAAATTATGAAATCAGGATTTAGCAGTAAAAAATCAGGAAAAATCGGGATTTCATCAGGATTTCCCAAAATTTAAAAAAAAACTAGACACTGTGTATATTGACCCCAGTCACTCATTTTCGCTCTTTAGGGAAAATCGTTTCGCGCCCTCTCTTGACTTTACAGTCTGGTTTCATGCATTTATAAAGGAGCGGGGCTGCGTTCTAAACTCACTGGACTTTATACTCGTTTTCATTTTGAATATGCCATTATAAATCTACCAAAATTCGACTGGAAAATTGGAGTCATAAATACAAATATGCGCCCGCAACATGCACGCATATTTTTTAAGTGCGGATGAATGAGTGCCCCAAAAATAATGATGCTGAAGGGAGAGACGGAAATATTTCAGTTGGTAGTGCGGATGAGCCGTCGCTACGAATGAAAGAGGAGGGTGCTTTAATACTGTCATAATTTTCGGGCCGGTAAACTGCGCGGAGGCGAGGGTGGCAACAGGTCGTCGACAATTAGAACGGCCATAATTCACCGCATCGAACTAATGTCAACATTTTCTTCAAACGGACTATTGTTTGTTTCTCCCGTGCTCTTTCCGCTTTCCGCCCGATCTCCTGCCCCCTTCTGATCGCAACCCCTTTGCGCGAGAACTTTCAAATCCCCTTTTACCAACAGCTATATTGAATCTGTGAATAATCGTAACAAAAAGGCACGAGCCATAAGCACTTTCAATCGAATCACGAGTATGTTGCTGCAGTTGTTACATTTGTTCAAAATTTAGCTTAACACGTTGAATTTGGTAAAAGTTTGGGGAGATTTTTCCTGAAACATTTTTGTTGGAGGGCAGAATTAAAATATCATGGAGCCATGGTCATTTCAATGATGACCAAGGTTATGATCATCAATCGTGACATATCGCTAATATCCGTTAAACGTCCTCAAAGTGTATGTAAAATTGTAAATGTATTTCAGGTTTATTGTGAGAGTGGTTAACTGATAATAATGTGAAGAAAAAACATATGTATGTTTTACATGGAAATCGCGATAAGTCGTAAACGATAATACTTCAAGCATTTCGTATTCGTTTTTAATCGGATTTACGTTAAGGTGAAATGGAAGGGTATCGCGTATCCCGTACTCGCTGTGAAAAGCTGAAATTTTCTTACAGAGAATAACTATAAATCTCTTGGAAACCCTATTCGGAGGAGGTGAAGAGCTCAACACTTTTGGATTATGGATTTTTCATGGCAATTGAATTCTCGAGCAATCTTTTATCTGGAAACGTTTTCCCCATCATCTTTCTTCTTACCTTCGACAATAAGGGAGGCCCTCCGTTTACTTTTTATATGAAAATGAAACTGTTTTTTCACCTGTATTCTCCCTTATCTTTTACTTATGGAGTTGTTTCTCTTTGTTTCAGGAGTGCTGCAGCCCTCGAAAGTGACGGAACCGGTCCGATACGTACCGGAACGTAGCCGGTGCCCCTGAGATGTCTACTCCGGAATCATGATCCCGTTCGGGTGGCAGTGACCCCCCCTAATCCGGGTTTAGGTGTTTTTTTTTAATCCAATAATTGAAATCGCGGTTGAGGGAATTAGTCAATCGTTACTCATTTTAGTGCTTTTTCAATAATGTTAATTCGTTATTCGTTGTGATTTTTTTTTTTGTAAATTTATAGCCGAGTCTCTCGAAAGTGCATCCGAGATGCGCGCCAAATCGGTCGAGTCGAAACCCCCGCCGAAGCCCCGGAACGGGCTGTCGAAAACCGCGGGCGGGAAGATCGCAAAACCGAAGAAAGTTGCGCTGCTCGCCAGCAGCGCGAAGAAATCCAAACCCGCGCCCTCTAGTGGCGGTGCCAAGAAGCACCCGCCGGAACCCAAACCAAACCCCAAAAAGTCGAAGCCCAAAGATGACACTCCAAAGGAGGATAAATCGAACGTAGTTAAACCCAAAGCAAACAAAATAGTCAGAGATTTAGTCAAGAAGCCGGTCATCGACGGTAAAATCGGTAGTGGAAAAGTCAAGCCCTCGGCGAGGACTAAAAAAGTAGTGATTAGTGCGAAAGATGACAAAGTCGCCACGATCGAATCGGTAGTTAGTGACGAGAAAATCGTCGTAGATGAAGAAGTAGTCAAGAAAAAGTCGCCGGTACGAAGCAAAGAGAAAGTGAACAAAAACAAGATCCCTACACCGAAAAAGAAAATCATCAAGTTGAAAACGGTTAGTAAAGTCCTAGGTGACAAAAGCAAGAAGATAGAAGCCAAAAGTCAACCCGATGTAAAGAACCCTGCTGATGTAGAACTTAACGGTCTGGAAACAGAACCAATTATCAGCTCACCGGAGCCTGAAAAACCAAACAAAAATGGAAAAGCTAAAACAAAAGATTTCAAGAAAGTCGCTAATGGAGGGTGTTTACCGCTTACGAAGAAGACTGGTCCGAAACAGTTGGCACCGAAGGTTGCCAAAAAAGCCCCTCCCAAACTGAAGCCTGTTAAAACTAGCCTGAAGGGCGTTAAGAACGTGATCAAGCCGAAGAAAGAACGTAAAAAGAAGGAGGCTAGAGTTTATAGTTACAATAACGACTCGTCTACTTCCGATGATCTTCCGCTAGATGCACTGGTTGCCAGGCAGAAGAATGGGTTGGTGCTCAAGTCAGAGCCACTCGAAACGGAGCTTATTAACAGTATTAGCAAAGTTGAAAGTGATGCACCGAAGAAAGAGCCCCTGAAGAAAGTTAAGCAGAAAGAAAGCGAGAAGTCGAAGGACAAGTCTGAACCGGCGGTCATTAAAAAAGAAACAGAAGTCAAAAAAGAATCAGACTCGAAGAAAGAACCGGAAGTCAAATCGAAAAAGGTCAAAACGGAAGTGAAAGACGAGGCTCCCGTCAAGAAAGAAACAAAAAAGATGACGACGAAAGCCAAATCAAACGATTCGAAGAAGGGCAACACGAAGCCGGAAAGTGACGCCGAGTCCGCCGAAGACTCGAAAGTCGCGCAACCGGACTTCTGCCCGAACCTGCTGAAGAGCATGAAGAAGGAGTTCTGCGAGCCGGAGCCGGTGAAGAAGTCCAAGCTGCAGAAGACGAAGAAGAACTTGAAAACGGTCGTCAAGAAACTGAAACCAAAGGCCTTGAAGAAGTCTCTAGTCAGCAAGCAGAAAGCTCTGAAGAAGAAGTTGTCCAAGCCGAAGACGAAAGCTCCGGCGGACGACGAGAGCGACAAGGCCGTGGCGAAGCGCACCAAGGCTCTCGCCCTGAACGGTGCCCGACGGCATCGAGTGGCCTCCCTGAACGCCATCGCCAAAGTGCACTGTCTCTACGAAAACGAGTCCCGCGGGGCCCTGACGGAGCTCCACGACGACCTCCTCCAGATCACGGAGGAAGGTCGCGACCCGGAGCGCGTCTTCAAGAAGATGACCCAGGTCTCGAAGCGGATCCTCCGCTCGGCCCCTGGCATCCGCTCCGTGGGTCAACACTGGGACATGAACGGGAGCTCCTCGGACTCGGGCTCCTCGGAGGAATCCGACAAGAGCGAGTCGGAGAAGAGCGAGGAGGAGGACGAGCCGCCGAAGCCGGTGAAGAAGCGACGGCGCCAGGCCGAGTGCAAGATGGACCTGAAGGACATGGTCGTCCGCAAGCGGATGGCCAGCCTCAACGCCTCGGCCATCCTGGCGGCGAGCTACTCCGTGGAGAAGCGGACCTCCACGTCGACGGTGTCGGTGCGCGAGGCGTCGTCGACGGCGCCGGGGCCGGCGAGCAAACGGAAAGGGCCCTCCGCGGCGGTGGCCGTCAAGGAAGCCACCCCGGCCAAGCGGAAGGTGGAGGTCATCGTGACCCAGGACACGGACGTGACCATCACCGGGGTCTACGTGGACTCGACGACGCGGAGTGCGCGCTCCGAGTACAGCATGAAGTACCGCATCTCCAGCACCAGCCACACGCAGACCGAGGCTGTGTCCACGGAGACACTCATCCATGCTGAGGTAAGCACCACCCAGTCCACTTACTCTTTTTTAGGAATCAGTCCGTCGTTTCCCGGACAAGGGAACGTAACTCCATTTCAAGGTTGTAAGATTGGCTCAAACGGTACGGGAGATCATGGATGCCAAGCAGACCATCGTGCATGACATTATGACAAAACAACTCATTTGGTGTGGTCATGTCCAGAGAATGGCAGGAGACCGGTTGCCGAAGAAGGTCCTTGATTGGGTTCCTCCTCGGAGAAGACGCAGAGGGCGCCCAATGAAAGGTTGGAGGGAAGGGATTGAAGCGGAAATGTTAAGGTGCTCAATGCTCCAAGATTTGTGGTTTGAAAGAGAGCAGTGGAGGTTAGGAGTCGTAGAGCGCGAGGGAGTGCTGTAAAGCGGCTTATATGTATGTAGGATTGACTTAAAAACTTCACAGGGTTTCTAGAATCAGGATTTTCCCGATTCTATCAGGATTTGAGGTCAATCAGGATTTAATTCCCACTGGAAGAAAAAAAACACATTGGATCTAGAGTCCAGACTCTTGAAAACATTGATAAGAAAAAGGACTGTTGATTCAATCAGATTTAAGCTGAAATCGAAAGGAAATCCGCTCAAATTAAGAGGCTTGGTTCATGATTTAAGCTTAAATCTGATTGAATCAAGAGTCCTTTTTCTTTTCAATGTTTTCAAGAGTCTGGACTGACTCTAGATCCAATGTGTTTTTTTCCAGTGCCGATTTCATCGGATTTGAGGAAAAATCGGTCGTAAAATGAGGATTTGAGAAAAGTCGGCCGTCCGATCGCATGTTTTTATTGAGTGATTTTTGTAAAGTTACATTCGCCAAAATTCAAATTCACATAAATCAGGATGTAGAAAAATTAGGAAATCAGGATTTAGCAGTCCAAAAGCAGGAACAATCAGGATTTCATCAGGATTTCCCAAAATGTAGAAAAAAACTAGACACCCTGCTTCAATTCTTTCCGATATTTTACCCGCGCAATTTTTTCTTGAAAATCTTTCTGATTTTTCCATGAACTCAGAAGAAAAATCAGGGGAATTTTCAGTTAGAAATTCCGAAGATTGTCCTGGTAAAAACGCAATTTGCACAGAGAAATTTGGCGGCATTGAAACGTGGTTGTGTTCTTCCGTGAGGGAACCGACGATCAGTGAGAATAGGCCAGTCCTGCGAAGGTTGCGTAGAGAAGAAAATGGTGGTTGAATTTTGGGCATCTTGAAAAGAGGTCGATGACGTAAATGGGTACGGAAATTTTTGTCATCGATTCTCGCCAATGGTGTGGTTTATGGAAAACAGTCTCACTTTAAGAATCGTAATATGCATTTTATAACGCCAAAACAACGGATGTCACGGCTCATTTTCTACACTTTGAATTCCGGATTTTGCAGAAATCTTAACGCCATGTCGAACCCACCTACGTCACGTTGTAAAAAATCGAAAGCTGCCTCTACCTGTTTTTTTCTCTGAGTCTCATGTCTCTACCTGTTTTTTTCTCTGAGTCTCATGTGTCGTAGAATCAGTTTTTGATAGCCAACTCTCTTGTATTGCTAGTTCTGATAAAGCCAGGAAAAACCCGGAAGCCAGTAAAATTTACTTAGCCGTGTTAAGGATAATCGAGTGTAGAACAGGTGTTCAAATCAGTAAACTTTTTTAAGAAATGGCACCCATTTCACATTCTTGGAAAAAAAATTTTTCGCTGTTTCGGAAATTTTTGTCGACGGCTCCGCGTATGTGCCAAAACTCTGGCAGCTCCATTTCGCACCTGATGTGAAATATGAAGTTCCAAGCATTGCAATTTACCTTAAAATCAACGGAGCCAAAATTACGTAAATGGAACCTGATACCTCTCTACATTGATCGCCGGAATCTTGGAGCAGTAAAATTCAGAGGCGTGGCGTGCTTTGCGATATATCGATTGTTATACCATTTGAACCTATGGTAAAGAATCGATTATTAAGGTGTTCGCTGCGAACACCCTGTTAATCGATCCTTTTCCATAGGTTTAAATGGCATAGCAATCGATACATCGCAAACCACGCCACGCCACTGGTAAAATTGCAACGCTTCACCCCTGGAGCGATCAGGGGGTGGACCTTTCAGTCTTTAAATGAAAAATTATCCTCGAGGAGAAAGATACGCGCCCTTTTCGCGGGAGGCAATGTAGGGCGATTGTCGAGAATGCCTCAAGGAGCGTGCATTTCAATTTTCCTCTTATTTTCCCCCAAGTCTTCATCAAAACACAACTGGGGGCTCGTGCCTGCTACATCTCAAAATCTTTTCAGTTTCATCCCGGTAAAAAGATTAATTGATCTTCCCAACGCGGTGCGGCGTTGCGGCCGAACGCGTAAGGGAGTTGGATCCCGGCTTCGAAGAAACAATAATCTCTAAACGTTTCAACAAGTGACAGGTCACAGTCATCTTTTTCCCTCTCGCGTAATTAACGAGGCAAGATTGCTTCCATTATGGCAAGCGTCTCAATGAAGTGCGCGTGGATTCTTCAGGAGCGGGAAAGAATCGTCGAAGTCGTTTATATTTTCGGTCAATAAGGTTACGAAAGTTAAAGGAAAATTCTTGAAAAAAATTGACAATTTTCTTTCATCAAGTACATCTGCCCGTGTCAAATCGTCGTTTTTCCGACGAAGCGGCGTAACTCCACTCAGAATGTGTAAAATCAACGGAAAAAATTCAATTATTAACAGGTTGTTACTAGGCAGGGTGTCTACAAGTCCGGAAATAGTACTGATTTTTAAGGGCGGTCCGGAAGTACTGAAAAAGCGCGGAAATTCCGCAAGAAGTTCCGGAATTTTACTCAATTTTTTGTCATTCTTGTCGCAATTTGAGCGAGAAATTCAAATTTTTGAAATTTTTCGAATCTAGTCAAATAGATGAACTGAAAAAGTATTGAATTTTTCTGTTGAGGAGGTACTTAATTTCTCGGGAATGTCCTGGAAAAGTACTGTAAAAGCACTGATTTTTGGCCTGTCTGTTTTAGTAGTCACCCGGGAAGTTTACCCTTTCCTCTATTGAAAAGAACACAGTGATTTTTGAGAGGTGGAGCATAGACACGAAGTCGCAGCAAGGCAACATTATCGAACAGTAGAAGCTCGAGTAAAATAAACACGCTTTTGATACGCATAGATCGCTTACGCGCGTGTAATCCGAAGCCCAAGTGGCAAGTGGCGCTATTGAAAGTTTGATCCAATTATTTCCACACCTCAAATAATAAGATGTTCACGAACGGGTCTTATTTGTGGGAATATCTGGCGCCCCTTGGACTATTGAAGCGCTTTGGCAGCGCTGCTGTGAAGGGCGATAATTAATTCAGACTTCTCAGTTACCCACCCGGAAGGGGCAACAAGATGGCTGTTGAAGTGATGACAGCGTCCGCACGCGTGACCTTTGACCTATCCACTTGGTCGCCAAGTTTTCGCCCGTAGCTTTCTTCACTAAATCTTGGATCAGCCCCCAGCTGTAGCGATCATTCTTACTCGCTGGCATGAATTAGTGAGTTCACATTCCCCTATAAACCTTTCCTGAGATAATGAGAGTCTTGAGTTTTTTAGTCGGAAGTGTATGTGATCCCTCGATAAACGCTTGTTATGTTATGGCCATTACTTTCGCATTAGATCACATTACCTTTACATCAAAACCATTTCATTGTTGTAGCGCATCATGGGTGACTGACCTACGTTATTTGCGGTTTTCTCCACTAAGAAGGATTCGGAATCGGCGCGTGCTATATTGAGTTAGCGCGCCCTTAAATTTGAGAAGTGCTGCGCCAAAAAAAAATGGTTCCTCGACGCCGCCTTGCTATCTATCACGGCTGAGCTCCCTTCATTTCTGTTTCTTTATTAAATATTAATTTTTAAAGACCCCCAAAATATTATAGGCAACGCTTGGAAATCAGGCCTCCCAGCAAAAAGGCTCCTTTTCAGAGCAAAGTTGGGGCATTTTTCCGAGTCGCAGGTATGCAGAAAGTTCCCATTGCATTGTTACTTTTCCATTTACAAAATTAAACTTCCTTTAATTCTGTAAACCTCTTTTCCCCAAAAAATTTCCGGAAGGAAGGCTTTTTTCCCTTTCTTTTTCTCCTCTCTATGTATGTCGCAGAAAATTAGCAATCCTCTTTGCAAGCGAGTTACATTTTGATTCTGTAAATCGCAATCGTGCGCATCAGTAACGAATCTTTGATGATTCTTCAAAAGTACGATCTCGGCTTGGAGCGCCTTCAACTTTTGTGATACTCTCCGCATTGCCTCGGAGTTAGTTTAGTTGCCCGTGCGATCCAAACTCAAGAAGGGTCATGGATTTCACCACTCGCTCTCCCGAGTGTGGCCGCTGTTAACATGTTATTGCGCAGAAGAAAGTGTCCATCTATATTAAGACAAAATAATCAATATTCTCATGTTTTCTTTTATTTCCGAATTCTATCTCTTCCGAATTGTTTGCTGGTGGTTTGCAAATTGCCGGAGATTGCTAATTCTGCCGAGCTAAGCAAGAACGCCGTAAATCCATCAAGATTTTACCTCGTTTTTTGGAATTTGACACTTTCTAAAATACAAACCGTTTCACCCATGCAGCTCAAATTTTCGGATTAAGTTTTTGATAGTATTTGCGAAATAATTCTGTAAAAACATTGTCCGAAGGTACACAAGTTTCACTGCTATGATACATTGTATTCAAAAAATGTAAAATGGCGTTTCTTGTGTTTTTGCGTTGCACGGCAGAGTTATTCTCGACATCTACAATCCCGCTGAAAACACAGGAGTCCTACTCTGACAATGAGCGATTTCCCATTTTCAAGGCCCTTTCTTGCAGTTCTTCCATTTTCAAAACCCGTCAGGAAGGCCATCCCAGTTGTGCATGTGACCAATCGCGATTTCCGGTCGCACTGGCATAATTCTGCAACCCTCTCGGGGTCAAATTATACTTCGTGTGGCATCCGTGCTTGGAAATTATTACACGAAATACTTGCGTCATGAATTCATCACTGTGGTTT